TCAAGATCATCCCATGCTAATTCTGGGAGTGGCTTCAAACTTTTGAACTGTAGTATATATATATATTTTAAATGTAATAGTCTTGATTTGATTCTTGGTAGTGGATGCGCACTGCTGATGAGTCCCAAAAATAGGATGAAATGGCCGTCCAGTGCTCTTCTGCATTCTACTGAGGTTTCTACATCTAGACATGACAAATTATTATGAATTATATATAAATATATATAAAAGGAAGAGGTTATATTAGTTCCAATGAAGGAAAAGTGTGTATATTAAAACGAAGAGAGATACCGCAAACATTTTTGGTTGTAATGTGGTTGTTTTTAAAATATATAGATATAAATATATATATATATATAAAATGTAATTTTATTTTAGGGTTAAAAAGACATCAGCCCATTATTATATTAAAAAGACATACTTGGATTATACTTTCCACTTCCATTTGATATTTTATATATATATATATATATATATATATATATATATATATATATATATATATATATATTTTGTTTAGGGGTAAAAACATCATAATCTTAACAACAGAAGTATATAAATTACAAATGACTCATGTACAAGATACAACACAATAAGCATAAACAAAATAAGAAAATTGTTTGTATATTTCAAAGTACATATATACGTATCAGAGATAAAAAGGTTGTGCTTATCTTGTAATTGCCACATGGTCCTGTCGGAGGGTTGTCCATGAATATCTGCTTTGTTAGTCTGAAGAGAGAGAAAATTTGATTTTTGTTTCATAAGGCGGCAAAATGCCTGTACCAATGCATGATGAGTCTTTTCAGTAGTTATTTCTATATTTTTATAATCTACCTTTTTTCTTTGTTTATTTTTAATTATCCTTTCTTATCTATATTTTAAAGTAATTTTATTACTTAACTTTAATTTTTCTTTTTGTCATATAGGAAGAAAATGTGTAACTACCGATACCGAGATTCGAGAGTGATATTCTGAATTTATGATTATATGGTTTCCACCAGGTGTATAAATAGCAATATCAGGCTACTAACTGCAGTGATTATTGAGTGACTATTGGGTGTAACTATCCAGTCAAATTAGTGTGAATTATTGTGCGTTGATGATTTGGGTTTTGATTTTGAATTTACCAGATGTTAAGCCAAGCTCACTACTAAAAAAGTATTCACTAGAATAGTTACTTATCTTTGGTTGTTTTTTTACTTTGTTCTTGTTAAGTATTTATTTGCAGTTATAATTAAATACTGTTTTATTTATCCATTGAAGTCTTGAGTTATACTTAATTATTAATGGCCACTTTATGTCACAAAACTTTTATTATTAATTATTTTGGTCTCATAGTCAAGTACTAAAGTTTAGAGGGTATTTTGGGATTTGTTGCTATCACTACATGTCTTGGGTATGACGATAAACTACATCTGACAGTAAGGCCTCTGATTGGTAGGCTTTGAGAAGCATTGAACCACCTCTTAATTGCTGTTGTTCCCAGGTCCGCACTGACTCAGTGTGGTAGCATCTTTTAAGGTCCCACCTACAGGCAAATAGTTAACCCCCAAACTGGGGTCAAAACACTGAAAGTAAAAGAATAGATTTTTATAGTAAAAATACCATCAATATATTTTTGAAAAAGTATAAAATGTTACCAGCAATACATTTGACTCTTGACAAACACCCTCTTTACAAAAATATGTCAATGAAACCTGATATACAAACTGATTTCTTATAAAGAATACATATTCTATTCCTACAAACCTATCCTAAAAAAAATCTTGTCAGCGATAAATAACCGATTGAGGTCGATATGCTGTAAAACAAAATAAACAAAACAAAACCAATTTATCATAGCATAACAATAATAGGCAGAAATCCTAGGTTTTTATTCATTCTTTTTTTTTAGTTATAAACCATAAACTCGAACCTGAGGAGAAAACACAGTAGAGCTTACCTTTTTCTTACGTCTAATCCATATTTAAAATGGCTTCCTTTATAGATACATGTTTAAAGTAGTAAAAAGAAACAGTAATATTAAAAAGTGCTCAATACACATGTAAAAAAATTAAATTAAATTAAAAATAACATGTAGACTTTTTAACTTTAATAATCAGGAGGTTAGTTGACTCCGCTACCTTGGTTTTAACCTTACAGTATCCTCAGGCAATTTTTATCAATTGACTTCCCAACAATAATATAATAATTATATTTATGCTCTACTTTTGTATCGAGCACTATTTTTTAAAAATAATAACTAAAATACTAAGGAACTTTGGATTATTTACCTAATCAGTTCCTTCCCATTTTCTATATATTTTCACATATTATATATATATATGTATATATATATATATTGATTAGGATATTTGCTTTCCAACAATGAGATAATCTCACCATAGTCTATTTGTCAGAGTGGTGACTTCTGGGGGGTGCCTGAAGACATAAACACAGTTTGACCCAAGGCTTGTGAGTGAAATTAAGTGGATGGAAGTATCTAGAATTTGTTGATGTTTGTGCCAGAATAAAGTCACAAGTCATCATAACCAACGATTTGAGATGTACTGGTTTTCAAAAATGTTCGATTATGTGCTCTCTTCCAGAAACTGTAAGTAAGGTGCGATATGAATATTTGCAGTATAAACCACAGGTGACCTCTCTGTATACTGAACAAACACAAATATGCCTGAGCAAGCATCTGCAACAGGGATTGTCTAGCCACTCTAGCAGATGGATGAGCTCAAAAATGTGCAAGTCATCATGAAGTGTTGATTCATATGCTTACACATGCCTGATATAGAGCAAGTTGCTTTATCAATACAACAAACTAGCAACTATATAGACTGCGTATAACAGCATAATTGTCCAGATCGTGTAACAACAAAATTGTCCAGATCTTGTAACAGCATAATTGTCCAAATCGTGTAACAGCAAAATTGTCCAGATCGTGTAACAGCAAAATTGTCCAGATCGTGTAACAACAAAATTGTCCAATTCGTGTAACAGCAGAATTATCCATCCTACAAAATCTTTAATATCTAAAAAAAAAAACACTAAACTAATTGAGTTTCTTTTTTTTGCAAGTTTTCAAATAAGATGTTTAGTCATTTTGACACCATTTGTCATAAGAATCACTGGAAAAACCCTTTGAGTTATTCAGCTAGAAAGAGAACAGGTTAAAATCATTTTGTGTCAGCCCTACTATGTCTTCTCATCTGATCAATGGTGAGAGGAAAGTGATCATTCAGACCTTCAGTAATGGTATTAACATTCTTACATCTTTAATGTCCATTAATGAACCATCAAGAGAACGATGAATACATTTTAAAAAGAAGGAACAGTAGAGAGAAAAACTAGATCAGGAGGTCACATGTGTGTTCCATAACAAATATAGTGTTTTATAGATATAGATTCAGAAAATATATATCCAGTTACCCATATTTAGCACACCTATTTCATGTTAGAATTCAATCTTCAAGCATAAAACAGACTGTCATCACTAGGTACTGACCACAAGGTCCACTTTTATATTTATACACACACATACACACGCACACACATTTCTTAGGAAATAATGGATTTTTATTTATTAATCTGCCACATCTTTATCACTTTAAACATTTTTTTGAGTGATACACATATTCATAAAGTGTGTGTGTGTGTGTGTGTGTGTGTGTGTGTGTGTGTGTGTGTGTGTGTGTGTGTGTGTGTACTGTATTTGGGGTAAGCATTTGGGGTAAGAATATCTTAAAATGAATAAAACTCAGGCTTTGTGAGTCAAACAGAAGAGAATTTAAGCCAAGAAAAATCCTTCCAGAAAATGAAAAACAAACATTATATCTATTTGTGTATTTACATATATATATATATATATATCAATCAATGCATGTTCTTTGTTTGATTTGTTTGCAGAAATGCAGCAGGCATGTGTGCATGAGAATGGTAAGTGTATGTAGATAAACAAAAGTAAATAAGATTTTTTGCATTCTTACATCTTTATTTATCTTTGCACAGATATATATGCACATCGACTGACAAAAGCAATTCACTTATATAGATTTGTTTACCAATGTGTGCAGAGAAATTTATATGAATGAATATATAGAATTTTTGTACATGCATATATATCTTTATAAACATGGGTAACGTGTGTGTGTGTGTGTGTGTGTGTGTGTGTGTGTGTGTGTGTGTGTGTGTGTGTGTACGTGTATGCTTGCATAGATAATCTGTGAAGGGGTGCTGAAAAATACTCATCCTGACCTACATTGCAGAATCCCACAGACAAAACACCAGAATTTTTTAGATGGACTTTTTCATTAGGGCCATGTGCTTGTCAACACTTCCTCTAATACAAATACATAGCTTATATATATTTTTAGGAAATGGATTAAATCCGACGTATAAATATATTATTATATTTATATATATATATTATTTTTTAAAATTATATGTGCATACAAAATCTTACATTACCCTCTTTATTGAAAATATGCATGTATGTGTACATACATATATATATATATATATATATATACATGTATAATTTGATTGATTTGTATTTTTAGGGCTTATCAAATCTTGTAGGTTATTTAAATCTGAAACATATTTTGGGTTGTAAGAAAAATTGCATTAACAATTTAAAAAAAAACAATAACTTCTCCACGTACGAGACTTACTATTTAACAAATAGCTAAATAGGAGGATGAGATGAATTCCTACCTTTCCCAAGTGAATTTTCATGTAAGTAAATGCAACGAACTTGATTGGAATTCAAACTTGGCTCTTTGATTTTCTATACACATGGCATGATCAAGAAGCCTGTCTAAAAAATATTTGATTTTGGAAAGTGGGTCAGAATTAAAATTTTTCAGCACCCCCTCATATCCCAAGATTGCAAATGTTCACATCTTGCAAATTTTTCTCAACTTGCATTTTTATATATATATATATAAATTACTGTCATGTACACAAATTCAAAAGTGTTCTTATAAATGTTAAGATGTCATCATGTAATGTACAATTACATACCTGCATCCGCACGCATGCAGATCTCCATTCCTACCCTGCCACACCCAATACCTTTACCTTCTGCCTCCCACGCATTCGTTGACATTCCATTGTACCATCTTATTCTTGGAAGCGGCATGCAAATTCAAGTTTTCTCACTTCCCTATTCATTGATTGTGCACAAGAATGTATGGAAAATATGCAAAGAATGTTCTTTTTCCCACAACAACCACTCCCCACCTAGAGCCTGACCCATCTCATTTTCTCCCATCTTTTCTATTCCTTCTCTCTCCTCTAGCAATCTCTTTCTTTTTTTCTTACGATTTTTCTCTTGCACTCTCTCTCTATGCTTTCTAACTCTTGACCCCCACCCCCCACTCCTCGACATGAGTTCTTCCACAATTTCATCTTCTCTATCTTTTGTATTTGTCTGCTACTCTTTTCCCTCTTGCACAAAATCTCTTTTCTATTTGTCTTTTTCCTTTTCTTTTTCATCATAGAGCCGTCTCTTTTATCTCTTTTAGTTTTTCCTCCAGCATCCCTCTTCGCAGAATCACCCCATCATGATTTCTTTCTTTTTTCTTTCTTTTTTCTTTCTTTTTTCTTTTCTTTTCTTTTTCTCCCTTTTATTTTTCTCTTTTCCTTTCTTTCTGTTTTCCTTTCTCTCTCTTTTCCATTTTCTCTCTTTTCCTTTCTTTCTCTTTTATTTCTCTCTTTTCCTTTCTCTCTTTTTTCCTTTCTCTTTTCCATCCTCTCTCTCATTCATTTTTTTCTGTTTTCTCTTCTCACTCCTGTTCTTTGTCCCTCTTTTCCATTCTTTCCATTTTCCTTTCTCTCTCTTTCCTTTTCTTTCTTTTCCTTTCTCTCTCTTTTCCTTTCTCTTTCTATTCCTTTCTCCCTCTTTTCCTTTCTCTCCTTTCCATTCTCTCTCTTTTCCATTCTTTCTGTTTTCCTTTCTCTCTCTCCTTTCCATTCTCTCTCTTTTCCATTCTTTCTTTTTCCTTTCTCTCTTTTTTTCCATTCTTTCTTTTTCCTTTCTCTCTCTCCTTCCCATTCTCTCTCTTTTCCATTCTTTCTGTTTTCCTTTCTCTCTCTTTTCCATTCTTTCTTTTTCCTTTCTCTCTCCTTTCCATTCTCTCTCTTTTCCATTCTTTCTTTTTTCTTTCTCTCTCTCCTTTCCATTCTCTCTCTTTTCTATTCTTTCTGTTTTCCTTTCTCTCTCTTTTCCATTCTTTCTTTTTCCTTTCTCTCTCCCCTTTCCATTCTATCTCTTTTCCTTTCTCACTCTTTTATTTCTCGCTTTTCTTTTTTCTCTTTTCCTTTCTCTATATTTTCCATTCTTTCTGTTTTCTTTTCCTGCTCTTTTCCCGTCTCTTTCTTTCTTTCTTTCTTTCTTTCTTTCTTTCTTTCTTTTGCCATTTCTTCTTTATATCTTTACATTCTTCATCCAACAATTTATCTTTTACATAATATTTCTCTCCTTTTTCTCTGTTTCCTTTTTTTGCTCTCTCTCCCTCGACTCTCAACTGCCAGTATTCTCATTGTTGGAAACGGTAATCAAGGGTAAAAGGTGAAGGTGAGGGGTGGGGCGCAAGAATCTCTTGCAAGAGGAAGAATTTTGATTTCTCTGGGCATATTACCCACAACATGAAACACAGAAGAAAATTGGTATTGAATTAATAAATTCACCATTGTTTTAACTTTATTTATTTCCTCAATGAAGAAAGTAGCACAAGAGATGGTTTCTACGCCCAGAGAGAAATTGAAGAAATGATGACGGGAAAGAAGGAATGAAAAAAAGTTGCTATAAAGAAAAGGAATTAAGAGAGGAAGGAAAACAAAGTGGGGGGAGAGAGAGAGACATGAAAAAGAGAGGAAGAAAAACAAAGGGAGATAGAGAGAGACATGAAAAAAAGAGGAAGAAATACAAAGAGAGGGAGACATAAAAAAAGACAGGAACTCAAACTAAAAGTCAAACTTGAAGGAAAGAAATTCAGAAAAGTAAAAGGAAGAAATGTTTGAAAAATAACTTGAAGAAGGATTAAAATAAAGAAAAGAATGACAAAAAATGTAAATGAAAGCAAAATGATAGAGAGCAAAGGAAAAAAAGGCAAAAAAAGAGTGTGAAGGAAAGAATTGCAAAGAAAGGAGTGTAAAGGAGAGAGGGTGAAGGAAAGAGTGCGAAGGGAAGAGAACAAAGGAAAGAGGGTAAAGGAAGGAGTGTGAAGGAGAGAGGGTGAAGGAAAGAGTGCGAAGGGAAGAGAACAAAGGAAAGAGGGTAAAGGAAGGAGTGTGAAGGAGAGAGGGTGAAGGAGAGAGGGTGAAGGAAAGAGAAGAAAGGAAAGAGGATAAAGGAAAGAGGGTGAAGGAAAGAGGGTGAAGGAGAGAGGGTGAAGGAAAGAGTGCGAAGGAAACAGTGCGAAGGGAAGAGAACAAAGGAAAGAGGGTAAAGGAAGGAGTGTGAAGGAGAGAGGGTGAAGGAAAGAGTGCGAAGGAAAAAGTGCGAAGGAAAGAGAAGAAAGGAAAGAGGGTGAAGGAAAGAGGGTGAAGGAAAGAGGGTGAAGGAGAGAGGGTGAAGGAAAGAGTGCGAAGGGAAGAGAACAAAGGAAAGAGGGTGAAGGAAAGAGGGTGAAGGAGAGAGAAGAAAGGAAAGAGGGTGAAGGAAAGAGTGCAAAGGAAGGAGTGTGAAGGAGAGAGGGTGAAGAAAAGAGAACAAAGGAAAGAGGGTAAAGGAAAGAGTGCAAAGGAGAGAGGGCTAAGGAAACAGTGCAAAGGAAAGAAAACAAAGGAAAGAGGGTGAAGGAGTTGAGCAAAAGGAAGCATGCTAAGTCAGTAGAAAAGTCAACAGAGAGTGTAAAGGAAAAGTTGTGAAAGAAAGTGTATGAAGGAAAAAGATTGAAGCAGGCATGAGAGAATGCGAAGGAAGGGAGAGAGGGTGAAAGCAAGTTAGTAAAGAAAGAATGAAACAGTGAAAGAAAAATAGCAAAGAATGAAGGAAAAACTCAAGTAAAAAGTATAAAAGGATGGAGGGAGAAGAATTCTAAAAAGGAAAGAAATAAAAACGTAAAATATTAAAAAAGATAATACCTAATAATAAAAATGTTCGTTTGTATTTTTTAACCAACCACAAATTTTTTTATGGATCAATTTTTGATTGAATTGGCCAATTTGTGAACACTCAGTCTATGGGTATGATGTTGTATCAGTTAAACTCTTGTAATCAACACAGGCATTCCTCAAGGGTTGCTTCTCAAACCAACTCACTTTCTACTTTACATAAAGTATCTCCCTAAGCGTATACTCCAATCATTTGTAAATATCTATACTGACAATGGTATATGGATTCACCTCCTACACTCAAGATAATCAAAGACTTACAGTTGATCTCTCCTCTGACTGAGATCTAACATCTCTGAGGGAAAAATTGGTCAGATTCAATCCTTCAAAAGCCAAACTAGTTACATTTCATCATTGCCAATCAAACCCTAAACAATTTCTTCACAGATGAACTGTAGACGAGGCAGCAGAGATGTGACTGTTCTGTGATACTGCGAATAACATTGAAAGAACATGTAAACAATGTGGAAGTTTTACCAAAAATTGAAACAAAAAATACAGTTATATTTACAATCAAAATGAGACAGAGCTAAAATCTTCTGGGACAAATAATGAAAAAAGAAGGCCTGGGATATTTGACACTCACAATATATTGAAAGCAAGAGGGACCATGGAAAAGAGCGTATAATGAGCTTGTGTAAATGGATGGCAGAATAGGGATTAGGAGAGATACCAAAAAGACAAAATTTACAAAGAACTACAAAGAGTAGGAAATTGTGGAGAACCATGATCACCAACATTCTGAAGAGACATGGCACATAGAAGAATTAAAAGATATTTTAGTTTTTCAAACTCTCCATTTAATCTGACAATGCATTTTACTGCACCTAAATTTTATCTGTACATACAGATTTGTATTTTAATGAAAGTTTGAACTACTATACACATATCAATGGCATCCTATAATTACAAAAACTGAGACTAAGAATGCCAGCTTCATATCCAACCAATTGTAGCAAGAAACATGATTTGCTGACTTGTGGTCCCTTGAGGTTTCTGGTTGAAACTTGGTGGCAGCTCATAAAATAAACAAGCAGACTCAAAATGTAATAATAATAATAATGATAATAATAATAAGAAGAAAAAAACTTTATAAGTAATATAGGTAATAATAAAGACATTAAAAATAAATTAATATGCATTTTTATTGCATTGGTTGACATCATTAATGGAGAGGATGTGCTTAATGAAGAGTAGCAAAGATAGGGTTACTTGTTTGAAAACTGATGGATTTTATTCATAAGTCCCCACAATTTATTTATCGACCTTCTTTTGACTCTCAGGCATTTATCAAACACTTTTTGAACCCCAGTTATGTTCTGTACTTATAGGAATATATACTTGAAAAACAAGGTGGATAAAATAAGTAAAGGTTTATTGTAAAAAAACCAGTACAATAAGAATAAAGGTAACAGTTATGCACAAGGTCGTCACAACTTAATTCAGTAGTGAACACTACTATTGGAAGGTCAGTAGTTCTCGTGTAAGTTTGAATTGTACTCATCAGATCCCAGCTAGTATATTTAGCCACCCCCCAATGAGGGTTTCATGTGGCACAAGGCCTGGTTTACTGTGGGTTCTCTGAGCCCATAGGTTTTGCCAAAAATATTCACTTTTGAACCCATATAAACGGGTTCAGGGGCAATCTACTTCCCTGAACGAGACTCTGCCCTTCAGCGGAGCTTCGTCTGGATTCCTCTCTACCCGAAGGCAAAGAGTTTGACTGTTTAGCTGGAACAAATCGCAGCTAGTATATTTACCTACCCCCCGCATGTAGCACAAGTAGCATAAGTAGTTACTACCTATAGTGTAGTCACTCATAGGGGTCACAGGTTATTCCATTGCATCAGTTATCAAACCCCTTTCTGACCCCCAGATATTTATAAAAGCCCTGAATAGTTCAATCAAACTCAAGAATAAATATCACCTACTTTGGTGGCCTACTTGGTAAAAAAGAAAGGTAGCCAGCCAAAAAGTTAGACTACTTTGAATTCAGTAACCGTGGAGAAGGTAATGGAAAAGCCGTTCACTGTCTTTTCTAAGACATCATGGCATTATTCATAGATAATAAAAAAGAAGCTGTGGAGAGCCATTATCGTTTATGTTTTGAAGGGTCATGGCATTAAATAAATTACTTATTTCTGTAGTATTACTAAGCTGTGAGATGACACCAAATCAAACACCTGTTGCATGGCACTCATTGCTAGGTAAACAACATTGCTGGATTGAAAACACTTCATGTGTTACCACAGAGGTTCAAGTGCAACTAGAAAGAAAGGGCCATCAGCCGAAAAATGCATATTGTGAAACTGCAGGTGCAGCACAAACAAATATCTTAAATATAAAAATTATCATTTACATCATTTAAAGTCAGACTAATATCCTCATCTTTGTTGTTATAATCACGTTTTGCTCGTTGCGATTTCTGGCTTTTTTTAGGTATTTGTTGATCCAGATAATCTTCAAGGAATTTCAAACTGAACCCTCAATTTAATCTACTGGTGTAGATCGTTCTCGTTCCACTGTCTATGTCTTGGAATAAAACATCTTGTATTTATCATCCCCTTAGTTTAAGTCTGTACTGCCCAGCCCTGGGATTGAACTCACAATTACTATGTCACCAAATTCACAAATCAATGCTTTAATCTACTAGTTTATTGTCCTGTGGATTAAAGCTTAGGTTAATGAATTTGGTGACTAAATAAGATGAGATATCTTGAGACATGGACAACAAAACGATAACAATCTTTTTTCTCTCTTTTTTTTTACTCAAATTTACCACAAGCAAGGCAATAAAGCCACTAAGACATAAGTGATTACTGGGTGTGGAAAAATTACAAAACAGAAACATTACTCAGTAGCAAGAACAAAAGAAGAATTATTAGTGGGGCCAGTAGATAGTGATTGGCATTGCATTTAAATTTTTGAAGATTAAAGTTGAGTTAATCATGGAGCCAGAAAGAAGTTCCACAAGTAAGAAGTGCGAAGAAAGGAACTGTTAACATAAAACTTACGGTTACATCTCATGAACTCAACTGTAAATTGATGAGACCCTGTCGCCAGTCTAGTACAGCACTTAAATTCAAAATGTCTAGGAATCATAGCAAAGAGCTCATCCAAACAATTACCATGAAAGTATTTATAGAAAAGACATAGGAAGCTAACTTTATGGTGGTGGAAAGTGACTGAATCCAAGACCCTAAATCAGGACCAATAATATTGCTGATTCTTCTTAATCTCTCATAGATTAAACAAAGGTTTCAGTTCCAAATTCCCTGTAGGTAATCCAGTCAGCAAATACCTGAAGAAGACCTGGAGTGCGCAATGACCGAAAAGTTTTGATAATAGCAACAAAGATAAGGACAATAGTCTGAAAGTCAATAATGAAACTCTTTAATGTATGTGAACAGTAGAGAAATACATATATGACAGACTTGACCCTGGATGGGTGTCACGTTCATACTTTTACCTCTCTAATTAACTGCTGAACCTGAATAAACAGTTTGTTTTACTCTTAGTTCTGTCAGGCCTAATTCATCTTCCTTTATCACAGACGTTTTCCTAATTTTCACCTCTTCCTTTTCTGACCCAGAATATCCTGTTTGCCTTAAACCAAACAGCCAACAGAACCTTCCTTCACGGTGACCACAATATCCTTCTTCTTTTTTTTTCAATCAAATAGCCAATCATATTTATGACAGTAACAGGAGAGAGCTGTTGAAGGAATATTTATTCTTCCATTTACATTTCCCCCATTATGGGCATTATTATATCCCTGATATAATAACACAGAAGTTCATGGATGAAATGGGATGGCTGGAAGGAAAAGGAATGACAAACATGCTTTATACTCAGTGTTTTATAATGCTACATCATATACAAAATTATATATATATATATATATATATATATATATATATGTACGTATTTTGGCAGCATGTTTTCATTGAGACAAGCTTCATTGAATAATTTAGACAAATTTTGTCTGCTTATTTCCAATTGGATCCATTCATATATATGCTCGGATGAGCTTTCTGGTGTTAGTATTAAAAGAAGAGAGAAAATTACCGTGTTGATACATATTGTTTTATTCCGAGTACTTTTGACATTAACACAAAGTCATCCTCAGGGTATGTTTTTAAGACAAAAATGTAGTGTTTATTATTTCCAAAGACAAAATCTAAAAGTTATAATTTCATATATGGAGCGAAGACCACTAATTTTAGTACCAGAAAACCAACATTGTATATAAACTTAAATGTCCTCAATGAAAAAAAACAATATTTATGTTGGCCATAACTACAACCATGCTGTCTAAGAGGTTGAGTTTTCATTTGAATGACATGTCTAACATCTCTAAACATTTACAGCAGCATGCTTGTCCACATTCACAATTTAGAAAAATTCTTGTTGAAAATACATCCATACTTTATCTTGAAAATAATAAACATAAACTAAAAATACTTGAAGCTATCTATCGTAAATAAAATTGGAACCAAACCTTAACAAAATTAATTATGGGTACTGCACAAATGTTCTAAAATGTTTACAATAGATAGAGTAAAATATCAAGGTCTATATTAATAGTTTCTCTTACTATTTTCTTCTTTTTTAAAAAGAATTCTTCACACAGTTACCTTCACTAGAGTGTAGACATACATTCCCAGATATTTAAACACCTGTACTTGTTTGATTTTGAAATCTCTAATTCAAAGATTGCATCTTCAGCTTTTTCTCATGCTGACAACCATATACTCTGACTTTTTGCACTTGATGGTTAGTCCTTTCATCCTGCTTTCATTTACTACCTTTCTTATTACTGAACATTTATTTTTCCAACCTTTCCTAAAGTTATTCAAACTTAGTGATCCTTGTAGCTTTACGGCGTTCTCTTCTGGTATTTGCCTATGTATTCCATTTGACAATTCATACTTGCCTAAGACATGCCACCAAAGAAAAGAACTTGCCTAGGTCACAAAACTGCTGCCACCAGGTCTTCCATGTGAATAAGAGATAATGAAACATCTTTAGAACAGTTTGACTGCTTCAAAATGCCTTTTGGAATGCTTCAATCAGAGCCACTAAGTCTGAAGCTCGAAGTAGCAATCAGCTTTCCAGAAGAACATACCTGAACGCTTTTGCGCGCGAGGCTGAATGTAATGATCAAAGGACTCAACAGCTGAGGAAAAACTCCTCTTCAACTGCCGCTCTGCATGAGGCTGAAACAAGATTGAGAATGTAAAAACGGCCCTTTTCAGGGCCACCCCCCATTCAAATTGTTAACCCCCATTTGGGGATGCACCTCAGTTGCACCCAATTGTTGTTACTAATATTGATTTTCAGGTAGGCTGACTTTAAACTTAAATTGCTCCAAGTGAACGATAAAAATTCCCAGTAATGAAAGACCCGGTCAAAGATGGGTTATACTGCTAGTATCCTGTGTTTTCTGTTACATGTTTTTCCTCACAATTCATATTCAGTATTAACTTTGAAGATTCACAACCTACAATTTGGAGTCAGATAATTAAAATGACAGTACCTTGTTACGTTTTTTTTTTTTTAATACTACAAGAAAAACCCACACTCATAAATGTTGTAACCTCCAGTAATTTGCAACAATAGTGACATGCACTACCAGTTGGTTCACAAATTGATATGGCAGCTCAATTTTAAAATTGATATGACAGCTCAATTTTTAAAAAAAAATGAACAAAACACAAGTCCAAACTTGAAGATCCATAGGCAGAAAGGAATGTCAAAATCATGAATTGCAGGTTCAATGTTAGAAATCCACCGCACTAAACATCAGTCACTCACAAGCCAACAACAAGGTATAAAAATAAAACTGCTCTCTAGTTCAAGAATACCAATTGCTTTTATCAATGGAATAATTTCTTTTCATTGGTCAACGGTTGGAGACAAAAAACAATATTAGCATATGCAAGATGCATTTAAGGCAACAGCTGCCACTGACTTATTTTTTTTTTGCTTATTTTGTCTTCAGCATATCAGTCACACGACCTGGGCAAGTGAAGGCGGGGCCTACTGATTAAGGACGAGGAAGGAAATTTAACTCAACGGTATTCACTTATGACCCAGAAAAATAAGTAATGTTTTCAAATAAATTTTGGGAACACATTTGAAAAAGAATGTAAAATTTTGGAACAAAGTTGTAATTATATTCTTTAGGGAATTAAGAATTGGTGGAAAGAGCACTTGTTCTAATAACATACTGACACAAAAAAAAACTTGCGAATCAAATATGGTGAACATAATATAATACTTTGAAAAAAGATTCAGAGAGTAAATATCATGTTTTCACACGAGATATCAATGTCTACAAATTGTGAAAAATTCTAGTGACAACTATTCAAGTAGCATGAATAGAAAGCGTGAAGTATCCAGCTAAAAGCAATTAGCAAAAGGTTAATTCAAAGGAGTTATTTGTCTTGGGACTAAAAAATCAAATCAAGGTCCTGAGATATGCATTAGAATACTCAAAATATATAGAACGAGATCTAAAAATATCATTGCAATCTGAAACTGAATAAAATGAAGGGCTGGTAAATCTGAAAAATGATGCAAAGAAAATAAAAAAAAACAGATGATCATTAAGGAATAAATATATTTTTTTTAAAAATTACAAAATTCATACTCTGACTTTTTGCACTTGATGGTTAGTCCTTTCATCCCACTTTCCTTTACCGTCGTGGGTATGATGATAAACTACATCCGCGCCCTGGGTAAGATGATAAACTACATCCAGCAGCAAGGCCTCTGATCAAGAGGTTTTGAGGAACGTGCAACCACCTCTTAATTGCTGATGTTCCCAGGTCTGCCCTGACCCAGGGTGGTAGCATCTGTTAGGGTCCCAGCTATGGGCAAATAGTTAACCCCAAAACTGGGGTAAAAACACTAAAGTGTAAAAATAGGTTTTAATACCAGAAATGCTTTGTAAAAAAATTATTACCAGCAATAGATTTTTTAAGAAAAAAAAGCTATTACCAGCAATATATTTTTAAAAAAAAATATTGCCAACAATATTTTTAAAAAATAGATATTACTAGCAATACATTTTTGAAAAAGAATTTTACCAGCTATACATTTCTGAGGAAAAATATTACCAGCAATACTTTTTTGAAAAGAATTATTACCAGCCATAAAAATTGTCGGCATTAAATAACCCACTGAGGTTGATATGCCATAAAACAAATCAAACCAAACCAAACCAAACCCACTTTCCTTTACTACATTGTCTAGGAGATACTGTGGTTTTTGCTTCTCTCTCTGGTATTAATACTGTGTTGTCTGTGTATCTTATATTGTCAAGATTGTACCCACCAATAATAAATCCCTGGTCATCATCTCCCTCAGGATAGCCGCATGGTAAATGTCAAACGGAAGACTTAGAATAGATGCTTTAAAAAGCAATTCAAAGTGAATGAAAGTTATGTTGTTGAAAATATTCCAAAATTACCAAAGACAAATTCCATTTCACATTCATTTCCACTTTGTATCGTTGAGTTTACCAAATGTATAACAGTGGCCTTAGAATTAACTGCTGTAAGTTACAGATATTTACCAGAGCAAGTCGATTAGGGAGAAACGGGAATAATTTCATCATCACATATCATCACTGGTGGTGAAGAATTCAAGCAGTTAATTCAAATTTCAGGATATTTCAACTGTGCAAAAATGTAATGAATTACTCTTTACAAAATGTAGCCTTATTGGAGATATCTAAATCAAGCAAGGGCAGAAATTTAATTATCTGGGAAGTACTTTAAGAAATGACAGAAAATATGGCACTGAAATCTGAAGGTGAATTAGAATAAAGGAATATGCCTTCCAAGAGCTAAACAAAATATATATCAGAACACCAAGGGAGACAGAATTGCCTACCCTCCTGAGGCACCAATACGAGAAGAAAGAAGTTAAAGCAGACAGGAACATTTTGTGAGGAACACATAAAAGTCATGGTCTGCTAAGTAATATCTGTCGTGGTAGCAATAAATAAATTACTAAATAACCCTCAACCACTACTAGTAGACTGTGTAGTAAACTGGAACAAAAATAATTAATAATAGAAGAAAAATTAAAAGTTAAACAATGAAAAGTACTTTAAAATACAATATAATAATTGTAGTTAACAATAAAGAAAGATAAAGTTAGATTATAAAAAAAAATAGTTAAATAAATACAGAATATTCCCATGGTGCATCAAAACAAGTGTTTTACTGCCAAAAAAGCAAAAATCAAAACTTTATTTCTCTTCTGGCTTCGACTGCCAAAGGAAGCAGACATTCAAGACCATCTCAGGTGAAATATATTGCCACCAACAGATAAGCAAAATTTCTTTATTTCTGTATACATATATGTTCTTTAAAATATACAATCATTTCTCTGAAATGTTTACTAAAGCAATTTATAATCTTTTTCTTGGCTTATTTCATTGTATTGCATATATGATTTTGTTTGTAATATTAGGTGGGTGCAAAAATAATGACGTAATAATGTCGGTTTTTTTATGTATCTTTTAACGTCACAAAACAACATTCTTACGTCATTATTTTTGCACCCACCTAATATTAAAATCCAGTTGTGGTCTCATGAAGCCCCTTTTTAACCCTAAAATATATATAAAATAAAATTCAGACAAGGCCAATGCATCATGGACTCTCACAGCATATCAATCCTCCTATATGACAGTGAATGCTGGACAATTTCCTCGCAGATACGTTCGAAATATGAAGCAAGAGAAACAAAGAAAGGAATGCTGAACTCCTATGAAATATCAATCTTCCTATATGGCAGTGAATGCTGGACAATTTCCTCACAGATACGTTCGAAATATGAAGCAAGAGAAACAAAAGAAAGGAATGCTGAACTCCTATGAAATATCAATCTTCCTATATGGCAGTGAATGCTGGACAATTTCCTCACAGATACGTTCGAAATATGAAGCAAGAGAAACAAAGAAAGGAATGCTGAACTCCTATGAAATATCAATCTTCCTATATGGCAGTGAATGCTGGACAATTTCCTCACAGATACGTTCGAAATATGAAGCAAGAGAAACAAAGAAAGGAATGCTGAACTCCTATGAAATATCAATCTTCCTATATGGCAGTGAATGCTGGACAATTTCCTCACAGATACGTTCGAAATATGAAGCAAGAGAAACAAAGAAAGGAATGCTGAACTCCTATGAAATATCAATCTTCCTATATGACAGTGAATGCTGGACAATTTCCTCCAGATACGTTCGAAATATGAAGCAAGAGAAACAAAAGAAAAGGAATGCTGAACTCCTATGAAATATCAATCTTCCTATATGGCAGTGAATGCTGGACAATTTCCTCACAGATACGTTCGAAATATGAAGCAAGAGAAACAAAGAAAGGAATGCTGAACTCCTATGAAATATCAATCTTCCTATATGGCAGTGAATGCTGGACAATTTCCTCAGAGATACGTTCGAAATATGAAGCAAGAGAAACAAAGAAAGGAATGCTGAACTCCTATGAAATATCAATCTTCCTATATGGCAGTGAATGCTGGACATTTTCCTCACAGATACGTTCGAAATATGAAGCAAGAGAAACAAAGAAAAAGGAATGCTGAACTCCTATGAAATATCAATCTTCCTATATGGCAGTGAATGCTGGACAATTTCCTCACAGATACGTTCGAAATATGAAGCAAGAGAAACAAAGAAAGGAATGCTGAACTCCTATGAAATATCAATCTTCCTATATGGCAGTGAATGCTGGACAATTTCCTCACAGATACGTTCGAAATATGAAGCAAGAGAAACAAAGAAAGGAATGCTGAACTCCTATGAAATATCAATCTTCCTATATGGCAGTGAATGCTGGACAATTTCCTCGTAGACAAGGAGTAGACAAAGCAAGAGAAACAAAACAAAGAGTGCTGAACTATGTAATGTCAATCCTCCAATATAGCATTGTATGGTAGTGAATGCTGGACAAATTACTCACAGATGAATAGATGACTGGAGGTAACAGAATTGTAGATGGTGAATATAAGTAATGTGTGTGTGTGTGATTAAATTTTCAGATCAAATATATCTTTAAAGAACAATATAAATAAAGTCAAAGGAAAAGTTATCTTAGCTAATTGCTTTGATAAAGTCCTTCAGAGGATGTTTTCTTTTTGTTTTTACAGAATATAACATCAGCTTAATGACTATTTTTATTTGTATTAACCCCATATATATATATATATATATATATATATATATATATATATACCTGAATGTAATGAGAATGAAAATAATATATAAATTCTAATGTTCACAGCATTAATTAAAAAAAGGCTCAATACCGATGATACAGCAATAATTATTTATTATAATTTTTTCATATAGACAAAAAACAATTTACTCACGACAAAGATGCAACTTTGTTTTGGTACATTAAGTTGCACCTCAACAGGTGGGAACCAAAATGCT